TCCCTGCAGGCATGGTGGCAGCCTGTGAGCTCTGCAGCTGTTCCCTTCATCATTTTATGGGCAAGATTATTCCCTCCTGCATCTCTTTTGCTTCTTGTTATGCAACTGTGTTTTGTGATTTGCTTTGCTACTGAGCTGTGCCACACCATGGCCTGAGGGGGTAGCTCTGCTGGGAACGTTGTGTGACTTCTGCTCCCACCTGAGGGTGGGGATGGGAATTTGGGGAAAAGAGGAGCCATCATGGTCTGGGGTTTTGAGATTGGGGGTAAGGGGAAAGAAAGGATTAGCCAAGCCCAGGAGTCCATATCCGAGATGAGCAGGGAGCATGAAGCAGCAAAATCAGAGCAATATTATTCATGAAGACTCACAGATGTAGAATTGGAAATGAGCAGGAGTCCAAAGGGGGAATTGGGGTTTGTTGGTACTACAGCTGGGAGGAAAACTGACAGTGCCGCAGCAGCACGTGCAAAGCAGTCATCTCTGGGCTGGGCTGATGGGGATGGGAGGGAGGGTTGCTCTCCAAGCATCCTGAACCCTGAGCACAGGGCTGGGAGCTGGTGTTTGTGAGCTTATTCTCAGTTCTGTCGCACCATTTTATGAGATTGGGCAAGTTTCTTTCCCTGTGGGTAAACTGAGGCACTGAACAAGTAAAGGTGATACTTGGCAAGAGAAGTTATGAGTATTGATATCCTAACTTGAAGGGGCTGTAGATTACAATAATAAGACTTTGTGCAAATTAAAAACATTATAAATTTCTGTTCTTCCAAAGCACAAAAGAGCTTTATCATCCTCTTTGCAGGTCAGTGAGTTTTTCCAGAAATCTGCCTCCCCTTTCTCCAAGTGGCCTACAGATGGTTTTGGAGCAGTCTGTGCTGCTGACCTGGTGGTTCTTCACTCATGAGAGCTCCAGGGACCTTCTTGTAGAAATCCAAGAACATCTCAGAAAAGAGCTGAGCTGCCAGGCTAGGTACATGGAGCTGGGGACCAGTGCAGAAAACCCTCAGACTATGGAAACATTTGCAGTGCTCAACCTCTTGATGCATTCTGGGGCTCTCTTATGCTTGAAGGCTCACAAAACACTTGAACAAGAAGGGAGGTTTGCTTGTTTGTTTTTCCTTGTAGTTCAAATCCTCTCTGGGCTCCACTTGTGCTGTCAGCACATCAATGCCATGGCAGCAGGAGGAACTTCTCTGACAGCCATGTAGCTGCAAGGGAGAAGCTACTTTGTGCGCAGGGAAGAGCACTGTGTCTCCTGAGCCCTTGCTCTTTTAAATCATGTGAGTGGTGGTTCAGATGTTTCTTACCCCTGAGCTCTTTCTGTCTCCCACCTCAAGTCCCCCCTTAGAGATCCCTTCTCCTGTGCTGGAAGATCTGTGCTGTCACGGGGAAAAAAATGGTGGTTTTATTAAGGGAGAGGGAATGTACCAGTGCCAGGAGGCATCAAAGGGATGAATTTGCTGTTCAGAAGGGCAGGGAGGGTGGGGAAACTGCTCCTGCATGTGCCCATACCCTGCCCAGAAGGAGCTGTTGCGGGGGGAGGGGGGGGGAGAGGGGAGAGAGAAATTAATTCTCTTTGGTTCTTAGACTCTGCTAAGTGTCATACTAGTGTGAGGTTTGGGTGCCAACAGGTGGGCAGGGATATGGCCAGCTCAATGCCCCTTTTATCAACTGGGGCACCCATATGTTCCACAGAAGGAGAAGACACGTCACGCTCAGCACTCTTGTTGCTGCTGCTGTGTCTGTTCTGTTCTGACATTTGTGCCTTGTCTGTGAGCGCTCAGCGTGCAGCCACCATCTGCAGGACGGAGGGAAGGTGCAGAGGGGAGCCTTGGACAAGAGCCACCATTTTCCCTTGCTGACATGGCTTTACTGCTATTGTCTGAGATACTTCTGCCATCAGGAACAACCGCTGAACTTGCATTTTGTTGTTGCCCTGGGATATGATAGCTGGCATGGTGCCTGCACAGACCCGAGGAAAGGTGTCCCACATCCCAACTAAGCTTTAGGAGCTGATCACTCTAAACGACAATAACTAGCTTTTGTGGTGCTTTTCTTCCTCCTCTGTCAGCCAGCTCTGCGTATATTCAACATGTTGCTAGACACATATTCAGCCTGGGTTGCTGCTCTGACTGCACATAATGTGCTTTAACCCTGCTCTCTGCTTGGTATCCTGTGCTCTAGGGAGGACTCCCTGCTCTCCTTTCCAGCACCCTGGCAGCACAGCACTGCTTGCCTGTTCTGTTCCCCCTTCTTGTTACAGGTCAAGATGAACTGTCTAGCCAGACTCTGGTGAAGGTCCATGTCTGTGGTTGTGACAGCTGGCTGAAATGTCAGAGTAACTTGTGCAGATGCATATGAGATGACAGTTCATGCCCTTTACTGGTGTGCTGGATCAGCTGCAAGATAGCTAAAGGTTAATGTTTGTATTTGCACTACTGGGCTTGTGCTAGCTGCACTGCTCAGATTAACGTGGTATTTCCCACTGCTCTCCTAGCTGCTCTTTCAGGCACCTTGCAGCTTCAGTAGTTATCATCACACTGATTTATCATCAGTCCCAAGTGTGAATGCCTCCTTTGCAGCCACACAGCTAAGACACTGTTTTTAGTGGGAGTTTATTGCAGACCAGAAGATGATGGCCAACAGCAGCAAGCATTGTGGGCTGGCAGGTTGCATGTTCCAACACCTCAGCCATGAGGTGGCCTTGCAGCTCATGACTCTTCCTTATTATTGACTGCTTTCTAGTTATCCCCTGTTCTCTAAGAACATAGAAGTGTAGAGATCATAGGCTCTGTATTGTGAAAGATAAAACGGTGTATTTTTAAAAGGAGTCATGATTTAACAGAAGCCATTTGCATCTGTCCAGAACCTGGGACCTTTGACATTAATGAACTCTTTCCTAGCCATGGCATTCAAAACACAGTTTACGTGGAACACTATTTGTTTTCTGGCTCAGTAGCCAGATATTTGTAAGTATTTGTGGGACTCCTTAGTCCCATCTGACAGTTCAATTTCTTTGTGAGTTTGTTGGACCCTTCCAGAGCCCAGCTTTAGAATAGGGCTCTCCAGCTTCATACAGCATCTTGTCTGCACTGAGAATGCAAGCTCTCAAAGGCCTGAGAAAAATAGGTAGTTTATTCTGGCACTTGCAGAGACATCTCTGGTTCCTGCTTTCACTGCAGTCAGCGCTGTCACTCCAGCTCTTTAGGAGAAAGGCCCCTGGGACACAAGCTGGGGCTGAGGATGTAGCATTGTGCCTTTGAACTTGTCTCCTCCCAGGGCTTATTTTCAGTACTCCAACAAGAATGGCCTCTCTGCCTACAGTGAGTCAGTGTGCTCCTGGGTTGGGTCAGGGGCCGCTGTGTCCTGATTACAAGAAATAAGTATGATGTATAGAAACAGAACTTGTAATAACATCAGCACAACTGTTATTTCAGAGTAGGCTGTGATGGTTTCAGCAATATTTGTGCTTTTGTGTTGCTTGCATCCTTCTGAAAACCTTAACTTGCATGACTGCTCTGGCTTTCCTGGCTTCTGTTGTGCTGCTTGAGACCTCACTTGCCCCTTCTCGCTTTGTTTCCTCTATGCTGCCTAAAGCCTGGGGCCAGATTAAAAGCAGTGTTTTCCTTTGTCTGAACAATAAAGAGAAGCTGGGAATCCTGAACATGTTGAACAAAGATGACATGTCTTCTGATCTGTTATTAACAACTTTGCCTGGTTCAGCTGGCTTAATTAGCCTTAAATTAAACATGTATCTTGCAGGGTCTAGTCTGCATCTGCCTGTGGAGGTAGCAGGTGGCTGTGGGGCGTCCTGAGCCTCAGTGGAAGTGGCCAAGAGCAAGAGGGTGCCGTAGTGCTGGTGCATCGCCGAGACCCTCCACAGCAGAGTCCCGCCCGGAGGGGCCTGTGCTGCGCAGGGAGCGGGGGCGGCTGGTCCCGGGGGTCCCCTTGCTAGCCCCGCTCTGCCGCACTGCTTCACCTGTAACAGCAGCCCCATCGGAAAACGGCACCCGCGAAGGAGCTGAACTTGAACTTTCTACTTTACCCTGCGGCTGCGAGCCCCGGGGGCGGTGATTGGCGATTTAATTTTTTTGTGTGTGTGTTTTTTTCTTCCTTTCCCTGAGTGGGAAATAGAAAGTGAGCTCGCTCTTACCCGTGAGGCGGTCGGGGAAGCC